TATCGTTCTGCCCACATGGCGAAGTACTAGTGAGAATTTGATTTCTGTGATTTTCATTCGGAACATTGAAACTGTTTTCTGCTCCTCTACTCTCTTTTGTGGCGTACCTACGTGAGGGAGTTGTTGTCAAGGTCACTTAAATTCCTACTGATACATTGGTGGTCAGCAAAGATGGTCCATTTTGCAGTGATCCCGTCAGAAAGATTTCTTAGCAGCTGCACTCGATTACGTCTATTCCCTACAGTACTCCATAAATCTTGTAGGACTATCCATTCAAGGAGCAATGTTTAAGTCTGTTAAAGAATGAAGTATATGGTGCTGATCACCCCCGTTCCCTTTTGATTCCCATCAAAGACTGAATCTTTCCCTTGCCTTCGACTTCCATTCAGAATCGAAGCCGAACTCGACGTGCTTATGTGGCTTCTACAGTGACTTGGTCACCCGGTGCAGAAATCAGTGCAGAAACCTTTCCAAAAGAGTCTGTTACCCTGAAGAGATTAGTCCAACGAGATTATCTCAAGCCGGAGCGATGTACGTTCAGCGGACGATCTGGATAAGCACTTATGTAGGATTTGATACACGAACCATGGGTGTGGTAGTGTAGGGATTCACTTGCCACTGGACCACCTCCGCCCCTTTTCTTCCTCCTCAGCAGCGCCATTATGGTTTTTTCTACTCTGTGAGGTTATTGCTTTCGCCAATGCGGCGCTTGTATCCCATTCCTATGGACTTGAGGCCAACCCATGCAAACGGTTCAATCGTAAAAATTGATCAACAGTTTAGAATTTCGAATGGGAATAGGGCAGAAATTTCTGTGAACCCAAAAATCGAGCTTCTTTGAGAAATCAAATATTTCATCAACTCCAGGCCTCCAGGCCCCTCCAGGCCAACCCCGGGTGTGTACGCCTTTCTCCATTCCCTCTTCCCCCTCTTCCCATCATTTGGTGGATTTGGTGCCTACTTGCCCATTTTACCTTTCGGAATGGGATGTCTTCGATGTGAAATAAACTTTAATGTCTATATGGAACATGATGCCCACTTTAGAGATCAACGTCGTTCAGAGGATCTCATTAAGGGGCCATGCTAGTCAGCGTCATCAAAGTCGCAGAAAAGATCTCTATTTGATAGCCTCATAACCTCATTCCTTTGCACTCTTGCTCTAGTGCCGATTGGCGATTAAAATGATTTTAATGCTTCGGTTTACTCCCACGGCAGTTTAATAACTAAATAGATAGCCATGGGTCACATTTACTTTTGAGGAACCTCTGTCCAGACTAGCTCCTCTCTCTTCTACGGCTTGACACCGTACTCGACTTTTATTCAGAATTGTGGCATTTGAAATGCGTATTCGGTCCGTGCAATAACTTTTCTGGCTACTCGATGTACAAGTCAGTGCTTTTATCCTCCAAGACGGTCCTGCTACTAATACGCGACCCTACTCTACCCGACCCCTAGGAGACGAAGGCTCGGCCGGCCTGAGCGGATACCCGGGATTGAACTTCCGGACAACGCCCGTGTGGTCAAGCGTCACTTGGCACTATACCACATCCTTCCATAGATTAAATGTATGCGAACATAAGTTTTACTAGAGTCGGGATCAACCAAAGGGAGCAGAATGAGTGCCCCCATTGCCCGAATATGAATTAAGCGATCAAAAATAGTGGACTAACAAAATTTAAGTAATGGGGAATAAAAAGAAAGCTTTGATTCAGGGCAAGATTAACTTTACAAGCAGTCAAAGATAGATGTGCCAGTCAGCCCCTCCCATTTCTAGGTACCTGCACCTAGGCCTCCACTTTCTTTGTTGACCTTGAACATCGTTCTCTATTCCAAAGCACCACCGCTCTCTTGGATTTTCAATTGAGCTTGTTTAAAAATTCAGTTTTTTTTGGTAATTTAATCATATGTAAACATCCTGCATCTGAGCCTTGGATGGAACGCTTTGATTCCTCAAAACTCACCTTTAAAGGCAGAACTCTAGAGCTTTGAAAAGGTACTTTCAAAAACTCCTTTTTTTCCATGCCTATTTATGTGGTCAAGCATCAGATTTTAGTCAGGCAGGTTTAGTCTTTTCAAACTTCTTTCGAAAGACCCCACATAAGCGAGTGGTTTATTGTTGATTGTATTTCTTCATAATATCGATTAAAATGAGAGATGTGATGTCTGATATAAAAGGGTAATTTCCAGAACGATGGATTACTTGCAAACGATTCTCTATGCCTGCTTACTCATTACTCTGGGATCCTGCGAAAAAAGTAAGAACTGTCGTCCAAAGGTATGATTTGCCATTTTTAGTAAAATTTTTTAGTAAATGAGTTCACGATATTGAGAATTCGATGTATCTATAAATAAAACAATTCATTCAAAGGCAGTAGTAATAAATGCAATAACTAAGGGCGAATTCTGGTCAAACTAGTTTGGTGTAAGTGAAGAAATAAAGCTTGCGTGGATGAAATTAGTGCCTTCAAGGGTCATCAGCTTTGAAAAAGNAAAATATGATGTCTGATGTAAAGGAGTCATTTGCAGAACGATGGGATACCTGCGAGCGGTCCTTTATGCCTGCTTACTGATTACTCTGGGATTCTGCGAAAAAAGTAAGAAGAACTGTCGTCCAAAGGTATGATTTGCCATTTTTAATAAAATTTTTTAGACAACGAGCTCACGATGCTGAGAATTCGATGTATCTATAAATAAAACCATTCATTCAAAGGCGGTAGTAGTATATGCAATAAATAAGGGCGAAATCTGGTCAAACTAGTTTCGGGTAAGTGAAGAAATAAAGCTTGCGTGGATGAAATTAGTGCCTTCAAGGGTCATCAGCTTTGAAAAAAATGCAGCATGCTATTTTGCTATGTTCCCTACTTAATTTACTATCATTATTTATGAAGTAATTTTTCAGGCTCAAGGAGCTCCGAATTTCGAGGGCAACAGCATTGATTTTGTGACACCTGAAGGGAAACGAACGATAAGGTAAGTATCGAGTGAGCTATCAAGTTCAAATCCTATGCATGGTTCCCGATTGCCTGTCTGCAGGGGCCACCCTAACAATAGAGACTTATTTAGGAAGATTTTGGGTTTCATGTAGGGGGAAAAATAACGAAGTTTCCTTCGTTGTTCCTCATGGAATAGAAGCAAAAAAACGAACTTGTGCGTAGGCGTAGGGGAACCAAATCCGATGGTAGCACCTGTTTTCAATTACATTAAGAAGCGACTTTTTCTGTAGAAATGTCATAAACTGCTTTTTGAATCTATTAGGCTTACGCGAATAGTTTTTTGCCTAGGTTATACAACATAACGACGTTGTTCCTTCCCAGTATGTAGGTTGTCAGAGAATAATCTTTAAGTGGAAAATTTCTTTGAGGACGTTTGATTGTAGTTAATGCTGATCCGTAAGAAAATTCATTCCAAGTAAACGCACCAATTTGATATCACATTTTCAAAAGCAGTTAAGATCCTTAGGAGATGATGGCTTCACTGGCTGTAGCCCGAATCAGTTCCCACTGCGCTTTTATCTTCAGATCTGCCCTCCCCCGGTAACGACTAGAGTAGAGGAACTCATCTTCAAGCTTACCCCAAAATAATCTTTATGAGATCATGGTTCAGTTTCCAGTTCAGGCAATCCTGAACCTGGCGTTGTAGAAAACGGAGCTAACCTAAATATCTGGCGAAAACGCTTACGAATATACTTTCGTTCAAACTGCAAGTTCTCATACTAATCAGGACTCTGTTACAGAATTCGCAAGCAGAGCTTTTCAGTCTGCCCCTACCTTAATTGATACGCCGCCAATGACAATTAAATCAACTGAACTTTCGAAATTTAACAGAAGACGAAGACGAGCCAACAGAAGACGAGCCTTTATAAGGCAGAGCCAATTACTGAAAAAAGGGATGAAGTTTCCGGGCTATAATCAATCCCGCCTAAAGAAGGCGCCCCCACATTCGGCTCTCTTTCAGAATCGTAGTGGCCTATTGTGTGCGTATGGGGCCTATATGTACACTGGCTTGTGGTGACCAGCCGATGACTAGTCAATGCTTCAATCCTCCCGAACGAATATGTTAGAAGTGAATGTTAGTCTAGGCGGAATTCGTATGAGGATCCGAAGTCTTAACTATGGGGATAGTGCGCCATTTGCCCCTACACCATCTCCGCCCAACGACTATTACAGTAACAGTTCTAAAGCTGAAGCTTCTGTTACGAGTTGCGCACTATTCGAAACCTTTCCCTCCTTCATCTTCCAAGGTCCAGAAGTGCTTCATAGACTCGCTGCTTGCGATGGCAGTTGTCGTTACAACTCCTTAATGATAACTCCGCCTATTTACGTCTGAGATTCTCCAAGTTCAGTTATTGATTGACGATTCCTGAGGATTTTGTCGAATACAGCGAATTAGCATAATTCCTACACCAAAAATAGCTGTCCATACTTTTTTCAAGCGACGGAGAGGCAATTACGGAAATAGGTATGATTACCACGTACGACGATTGCAAATCCGCTTCTCAATGCTGGATTTACGATCGCCTATAACAAGTCCTTCTGTTGTTCGGGGGACGGAGAAGGAGATGGTGAGGGAGAAGGGTACACTGGAGGAAATGAGGGCCGGTTGCATCACCATTCACGATTCTTTTTATAAGATGAAAATTGGTTTGTGAAGTGGACACTAGAGCTTACACTTTTTCGGAACGTTAGGGCTGTGCTACATCCTGACCGGAAAGTGTTATTCGAATTCTCACTTCCCGAACCTTGAACATTGATGTTCCAATGGGAACCAGCAGCCCAAGGATCTGGGAGCAAACACAAAACAAATAAGTAATCTAGTTTCTTTGATCCTTTCACTGAAGCAATGTTTCCAGTCTTACTGTCAACAATCTGTTTGACAAACATAACTTATTAGTCTCTTACTCGTGAGAAGAAACGGTGCTCTGCCCCTTACAAGCTTCCCCTTGTCTACTTATTTTCTTACAAAAATCCTCTTAATTTCTCTCTTAACACCCACTTTGTCTTGGCAGGAGCCAAGTAAGGGACTCTAACGTAAATACTTCAAAAGGGACTGCACTCCTGAAGTTTAATCTGAATATTCACTCGTAAACAGTATCCATCTCGAGTCGTTGTTACAGCTCTCACCTCAAAAGCGACTTATTCAGGAGACCAGTCCAAAAGGTATACTTTTGGCCGTCATTGACTGAACCGGAGAAGGAAATTCTTCGCGACGCTTTCTTCCAAATCGGGCGACGTACATGTATAAAATTTTTGGAGCAGGTAAGCGGTACATTCCGATGAAATTATTGTAATAGAGATCGGAGGGAACATATCATCTTTCTATATTGCCTGGAACGGATAAGAGCGTTTACGCCAATTTCACCCACAGAAACTGGTATCTGGGGACAAAAGTTTCATTTTGAAAAGGAAAAAGCTGTCCAATAAGTTCACGGGAAGGAGAATTTGTGAATCCAGCGAATAATCGAAACGAAACAGGCAGTACTTAAGTATGAGTTCATTTTCCTGCAAGCTTCTTGTCGTCATGCTATTCTTTCGAAAAGTCGATTAACTGGTATTTGCCCTGTACCACTGACGTAACGATATTCGGTTCAATAATGGTAAACAATCGCTCAGGCACAAAATTGGATGCACTCTCAAGACCAATCGTAGTACTCAAGGCAGTGATTCATCCTTTTGCGGGATTCGGGATGGGAAAAACTTAGCTCGCAGTGTGTTGCTCGGTTGGGGGAAGGGGAGGGAGAGGAGGTGGATGAGCAGGGATAGGAGGTCTCAGGTTGCTTCCAAGTCAGAATTGTAATAAGAAGGCCAGCGTGATGAAGTTAGGTTCAAATGGCAGGATACTTGCTGGCTATATTGACAAGAATGTGTGGCAGAAATATTTGCGGAGTTCACATCACTGAATACTTAAACATAGTGAATTTTAGCAATATAATCAGGGGAGCGGGGTTTATTCTGTTCCTGTCATCCTCGTAAAACAAAGAAAATTCCATCCAGAGTTCAAAGACGGGAAATTCCATTGAAGCATTATCCCTTTCTGAAGAAAGGATGAACTATGAGAGTTGTTAAGTCGCCTTTCTGTTCGCTCCAGTCTCTCCAGTCTCCTTCGTTTCAAAAAGTGGTNTTTTCCCTGACTAAAAAGATCTTCACTTCCAGGCTATCAGCCAAATAACGATTGATGCCTAGTAAATTTTGGCTTTTTACATCGATAGAAAATCGGTTAGCAACTTCTTACCGGTGTTGAACTGGATTTTGATTTCGTTCCAGGAATACAAGCCGTGGTTCCACGCAGATCGATGGGATGCAAAACAACCATACGTACTCATACGAAAAAGCAGGAAATATGCAGGTTAATTCCTAAATGTCGTTGAACTACCATGAAGGTCACCTAGGGATTTCACTACTCGACTGAAATCCGCTCAACCTAAATGACGTCCGGCAGAGAAACGGAAATTCAACAGATACGCCGGAAAAAATTTCAAATAGCGAAACACAGTTCGGTACATAAGGCAGAGGCTTGAATGATGTACCCACTTGTTGCCAGGAAGAAATGCCAGTTAGACTCTAGTCTAGGCCACCCCGACCTATCAGTCTTATTAGTTAGTTTTTTTTTGCTATCTGGTCGGAGTACGACTTAGGTAGGGCGTAGTGAGGGCTCAATGAAAGGCTCAATTGGCGACCACACCCAAATGTGTACGAGTTATCACGGCATTGTAGGCTGTATCATTCACAGTGGACTGTCACTGTCAATTGTTAGTGACATATGACTAGATTGGAAGCGATTCTGGAGTTCCAAGGCAACTGCAACCAGCTCTTTAGTTGTTATAGTTGCAACAACTTTTTCGTGTATTCACCCTTCCCATGCCATTTCCGTTGTGGTGATCTCCTACAAATTCTCGTATTTAAGAGTGCTTAGATTTTACGAATTTACGGGTTTTCTCATTTTCTTGGCCATCGATGCACAATTCTCCACCGACATTTTTAGTTTCCAATTCGAGAAGAGGTATATTGAATTATTGTGAACTGTGCCCACTAAGAAATAGGAGTCTGCTAGCGAGTTCAGGGATACCAAAGATGGTACATGGGTTGTAAAAAAATTTTGTAAAATTGAAAACAATTTCTTTTAAGCATACGCGGACACCTCGATTGAAGGCCTCGTTGATCGAACAATCCTGTACATTTCGGAGGGTGCGTTCCAGATGAACACATTCAATCATTCCCGAGGTGCTGTGATGGATCAGCTAGTGCGGTTCATGGGTGAGTTTTCGTGCATTCTCCCAAGTTTTGAAATTTTCCAATATGAGATTACTCTGATGCATTCGTATACTAATCTAATGTGAGCTTATGAATTTTGTTGATGATCGATGATGAAATGATTTGTGCCTATATAGAAAGGTCTTATCCTTCAGAAAATAATGTATGTAAAGGAACACTGCTTACAAAGATAAATACGTATTACAGGCATGAAAAAGGAAATGTACCGTCCTGATGCCCCTTCATATATCCAACCTATTGCGTGAGTTTGAATATTCAGACTTGGTTTGCTCTATTTTCAGCAGAAATATAGAAATTCAGACCCGTACCACTCGTCCGACAGCCCGTCTTTCAACCTGCCCAACTGATGTGGCCTTTTGATCCAGAGAGTGTAACGATCCCACTTTGGGCCAGAGAAAAGTACGGTAACTCCTTATTTATTTTTCATTATATGAATGGCAAACAGGTAACTAGATTGAGCCATCCTAGAGGTCGTTTTCTCGCAAAACACCGGCAAATGGGAATTTTACTGTCAAAACCGCTTTTTTCTCAAAACCTTTGTCTACTTTCAGATATCGCCTTACTCAATATTGTCCAGCTCGAAATGATGCGGACATCGGCGCTGGTCAACGGGTTGGCCTGCTTACAAAGTGAGTTTAGGAGGACGAAAATTACTTCCTTTGAGACAGATTTCAAAACGTTCGCCCCTATTGAGCCATGAACTTTCCTACTGAATTTCCAAGGTTGTTATGAGTTGGATAGGAGCAGTGACATCCATGCACGACTTACAGTAAGTTAGCTCACGTAAACGTGAAACAGCAGAGGTTGCACTTCAACATCAGTTTCTTCGAATTCATGGAACGAACGTCTCCAGCTGTTTTGTAGCCAATTCTGATGGTAGAACGTCATCAGACTCGATTCACAATCGTTGTTCCTTACACAGTAACTTACAGTAACCGACCGATGTTCGATTCAGTGTTTATCCCCTCACCCGGAGAGGTGGAAGACCTTCTTTATTGCCTGGCAGTCGTCTGTAGTCCAGGACTCGGAATCCGGACTATGAGTATAAGGGTGTGCGCCGCTTACCGCTACACTATCCTTGCCCTTGAGAAGATCTTGACCAACAGCCCTGCGTAGGGTGATGACTTCTTCCGTTAACGGATTCCATGTTTTCACGAAGCTACCTCAAACTGAACCATTTAACTCTAACTCCTGCAACGTTTCTCACGACTACGCCACAGGCACCATCTATGTCACAAAGGACAAATTTTTAGCTGTAGACGTCTAACAGCTCTGCATTTCGTTTCAAATTGAATCCAAACTTATTTGAAACCCTCGACTGACATTAGGAGTTGGGAAGGTACTCTGGAAACTAGTTGCATACCCTATAAGGAACCCTTTAACCTATCCAGCATGACCAGTTAGTTGATCACTGAGGAATGATCTTTTTAGCTTATTGAAAAACGATTCCGAATCTCGATTTATCTCCTCAATTTTCAGGTGGGACACGATAAAGCTGAACTCGATGTACTGTCCAGAACTAGTACATGCTGATCCGCAACGTGGTCCATGCGTAGTACCACGTCCAAAGGATGCCGATGAATTCCAACGTCGAGTATGGGCTTACAAACGGTTGCTGAACAGAAATAAAGTGATCCGAATTTAATTTGAAGGGGTTCTTGAGCAAAATATACGGCAATCTCCTTACCATCATGTATTTTAACTACTAAGGTGCATTAGCAACTGGATACCATCGATGACCCCACATTGAGAGCTGGTAGAACAAAAAAAANAAAAAAAACTTTGCCTACGAGTATGGTTCTGCCACCAGTCAAGCTTCAACCAGCTCAAACTTATTTCTGTAAAGTGTCCGAGAGTCTCGCTTCTATACTTTGTCATACAAGTAATCTATTTGTCGGATGTCATTCGCTCTGTCGTTTGCCATTTCCCGTTATCCTGAATAATTGTGTCATTTGGCACTTCTTTTTAGAGGTGTCCTTTTGGCCTTACGTATGTGAAGTAGGTGGCCAAGGTTGTTTCTATGAGGTTGCTTTCGAATGTGTGCAATATTCTTCTTATTTATGAAATTTTTCTTGAGAACACGGCATTTCGGGTTCGTTTTATGTTGTTATTATTGAATAAATTGTTTATAATGTTTCCAATCGCTACACAGGTGAGCGTCCACCGGGAGAAACATCATCTGAGGGCGCTCAAGCTTAAGAAAGTTTCAGAGGTTGTACGCAGCGCTAATCAAAACCACTAAATAATCGGTGGCACCTCCACATCCAGTTCAACCTAGCTCCTGCCATGGACATCTAGCCGCGTTTCGACATAGGTACCATCTTGTTGGTTTTAAGTACAACATTCTTAGACCATAAATTATGAACAGGTATAACGGATGAAGGACAAAGCCCCTGGAGTCAATTCACAGGTCGATTCTGATTGCGACATATTCCCGGTTGATTTTCCATAAATTACCCTAATGAACTGCAAGGAAATGGCCTGAAATGTCTAGTTGGGAGACAGAGGATAAGCCTTTTTTGTCAGTCAATCCCATTAATGAGGTGCGCCCATCATTCCGTCCTCCAATCAAATTTGCAGTGACGTTTTTTGCATGCCTTTTTGGCCTACACAATGACTTGCGGTGGCCAGCTGATGCCCAGGCCAGGGCTTTTAACATCCCAAACCAGCCTGGTACGATCTCAAACGAGTCTAGCACTCAACCGAGAGGAACGAAAGGCTTGGTAAGCACACGGCATTTGTCCGATATCCGATCCGCCGCCTATGCGTGTCATAGAGCGCTTCTTGCCCCTGCACCATCTGCGTTCTATGTAAAACTACAAGCTTTCAACACATTGTACGTGTGTGCTGATAAACTATGGCATATAAGCCATTAAGGAGGCTAGGAAAAGCGGGGTCTTGGTAGTGTAAGGGATGGAGCACGGTGCCCCTGAAAGCACAAGTAGGGGTTCAATTACCATTCAAAACTGGAGTTTTGTTCACAAACCTCCAGCCTTGTGAGACTTTCGCTTCGCGCACTGCGGCGTTGAAACAGCAGTTAACAAAAACATCAAGTCAGCACAGGCTCTCTGTTCAGGTAAAGCACTTCAGCTTCAGATATGTACTTTATGGAAGTGGGCAGATTATCTTCACCCTTTTACTACTTCTTTGGCTTTGGCGAACTATTTTTTTTTGCGTAGTGATTAACGAGTGACACTTAATTGGCATAAGACTATAATAAATCT